TAGGTTATTTTGGGGACTCACAAGCTGGAACCAAAAACTTAGATTCTATCTCTGAGGGTGTGGGAGAAACTTAGAATCTCTTGACTGCACTTCTCTTTTCTGGGTTTAGTTGGGGAGATCTCTGGAGAAACTGGCCAGAGTTGGGTCATGTCCCCACCTATTGAACCACTCACATGGCCAGGAATGGATAGAGCAAGATCTTATGATTGACCCTGCCTGGAATTGAGTCCACCTTGTGGCCAGTGAAAAGTACTCCATTATCAGAAGAATGGAGTGTTATATAGACATGGGTGCTGAAGAAATGAAGAGCTGTAATTTGTGTCTCCCTTCAGTGAAAACACTTCCAAATTCCATTATTGGAAAAAATGAATATTTCAGAGTCACTGCTGACTCCAGAGAGGTCGAAATTTCCTGTCCACCTATGACTGCTGCAGCTTCTAAGTAGGTGGGGAGGATCCTAGGAACCCCATGACCTGCTCAAGTGGCCTAGGAATCCACCGAAAGCGTAATTACTGTCAGCCTAAGTTAAATTCTTCAAGAGAGACCAGGCTGTGTGTACCAGGGAACTTGCTTGGACTTCTTCGCACATCTCTGTCATCCAAATTCACCATTTCAGTGACAGAGCAAGTAAAAACCCTGAACATCTCGCCTTCACCTGTACGCTCATTCCCATTCTGCTTTGGGATGGCTCTCCCATCTCTTCTCTGGTCTCCACTCCCCCCCAGGTTTATTCACTAATTTCCCAAGTTTGTTTCACAAAATAAATGCCGCCACATGTTTGGTCCAATCACAGAATATTTCTTCCACTTCTTTGGCTGACTTCTTGTGAAGGATCTGATTCTCCTTTAGCCTCATAAGATGAAGACTCACTCTAACACACCTTAGCAGCTCAGTCAAGATGTGGGATCAGACTTAAGATCATTGCTTCCTTATCTTTATTCCTTGAGAAGAGTGATGTGTCCAATTTATTCATAATTATGTTAGCAATTATCACACTGAATTGCTGTTTTTCTATTATCTGTCTTCATCATTAGGCTGTAGTCATCTTAAGAGCTGGGACTATAACCTTGGACATAAGTTTCTTGGTATGTGAATTGAATGAATGAATGAATAAATAAATGAGCAAATGAATGAAGTATGAACTAAAAATCATTTGCTTTGGTATCAAAAGATCTGGGTTTGTACAATGGAATACTACTCAGCCATAAAAAAGAAGAAAATTCTACCCTTTGCAACAGCATGGATGGACCTGGGGAACATTATGCTAAGTGAAGTAAGCCAGTCAGAGAAAGACAAGTACCATATGATTTCACTCACATGTAGACTCTAATGAACAAACTGAACAAGGAAAATGGGGACAGATTCATAGATGGAGAGCAGGATGACAGCTAGTTTGGTGGGGGATTTTAGGGAGTGGAGGGACTGAGCAAAAAGGAAAAAAGACTCATGGACATGGACAACAGTATGGCAATTGCTGGGGAGAGGGGTGTATAAGGGGACTAAAATATAATGTAAAAAAAAAAGATTAAGGGAAAAAAAGAAAAAAGATCTGGGTTTGAATCTGGCTCTATCACTTACTCTCTGAATGACCTGTAGCAACTAGCTTAATCTTTCTGTACATTAGTTTCTTTGTTCCCTGTAAACTATAAAATGTGGATAATAATGCCTGTCTTTCATAAAGATTGTTAGATATAATTAAATGAGAGAAGATGTACAAATGCCTAGTACGGTGTAGGGTACATAGAAGAACTCTGTAATAGTAGCTTTGAAAAAAGAAACATTGCCTGAATTGCTCAGTGGTTGGAGTGTTGTCCTGTGCACCAAAAGGTTGAGGGTTCCATTCCCAGCCAGGGCACATGCCTAGGTTGTGGGTTAAAAAAAAATTAAAAGGTACATTAAAAGATCTAAAAGCAAATGGAGGGGACCACTGGCCACCACTAAGGAGAGCATTGACCAAGTTTTATGCCTTGGACCTTTGGGAAGGGAATATACTGGTTACTCTGAGGATCAAAAGTAGCTGGAAAAAAATGGTAGAGCAAAGGAAATAACCATGGTAGAAAGGAACCAAAGGCCATTATCACTAACCTATAAGTTATTTGAAAAGAGTGATGGTATCTAATTTATTAATGTGTACTTTGCATTTAGCCCCACTCTGTACATTGCAAATGTTTGTTGAATAAATCAATGAATGAATATTGATTAGGATCTCATGAGATTCTTAGCCTTGACAAGTAATATATGGATTTAATGTTATTTAAAATAATTTTAACATGAAATATAAAATATTTTAAATGTGGAAACTCTATTTAATCAACAAATAACATTGAGCATCTGCTATATGCAAGGGACTTAGGCAGAAAGAGGAGGGAAAACATCCATAGCTCATCCTCAAGAAGCAACTGCTATTACCATTTTGAGTATTTTTCCAGTCTTTTTTTTTCACATAGTCTGTGAATTCACTTAACTATATCAGAGAACCATATACTGTAATCAGCAAATAAAATTTTCAATTACGTATGACACTTTCATTTAAATAAAAGGGGACTTTTCTAATTTTCGAGTCACTTGCCTCAATTCTACAAGTTCCATTTCAGTCTATAAAGTTGAAAATCAAGGAAAAGTGAAGAAGAGAAAGGGAAAAGTTATAAATAAGTTTAATTCACAGTTTTTAAGTCTTCGGAACCCACTTTGGTAAAACCTTAGTATTTTATAGTCCGAGTAGTTGTTAAAATTTCAGCTCAGGAAATTTCCTCGGTCCTCAACCTTGCTTTTCCTGTATAGATAAGAGATTGGGGATTTGGGACATGACAGCCTGATCTTTGAGACCAAAGGAAAAATCTGAATCTCTTCTTTCAGATCTGTCCTGCTCCCAGTGAAATCTGAAGCATAAGAAATACATCTAACATCTATATGAACACCTAGGCCTTTTCCTTATCATTATGACTTGAGAGAGAAAATCTGACAACAGAAACAGTGACCACAGGAATTGTCAACATTCTATGCTTAGCTTCCTACCTTTAAGATCATTCAGTTATCTCCCTAACACAAGCATTTCCATGCCATTAAAGTACCTATAAACATGATAATGTTAAATGGCTGAGTAATGTTGTCATTTGGAAATATCATAATTTTCTTATTATTTTCTCTTTTTGGACATTTAGGTTTCCAACTTTAGTTGTTATAAACCACACTACACTGAAAAGCTTTGAATAAAACTTTTTCTTCCAGATAATATTCTGAGCAAAGATCTCCCGAGAAGGGTAATCATTAGTTCAAAAAACATAAAAATGTTGTAAGTTCTCAGTACATACTGTCACCTGACTTTCACCAACAGTGTAAGACAGTAGCTATCTCCACTATACCTTTATCAGTCCTGGGTAGTTTGAAAATAAAGGGGAAAACTTTTAATAATTTGATTGATGAAATACTATCTAATTTTAACTTGTATTTATTGGATCATTAATGGGGTTCAATTCTTTACCATTTCTGTCCCCTCATCTGTAAATTTAATTGTTGATTTCTCTTGTCAGATGTTAAATAGCTTTATTGATTTTCACAGGCTCTCTATAAAAATATAAATCTATTGTCTGTTGCATTTATGGTGGATAATTTTCTCAGGTTGATTTTTGCCTTCAACACACATATATCTGAGTTTTCCCAATGTGTCAGGCACTGGTCTAGTCATCATGGATAAAACATATGCAGTCTCTATTCTTAATGACCTCAGGTTTTAATAGGGGGAGGCAGGCAGGTAAACAGTAAGTGCAATAAGGTTTTGACACCTTCCGTTAGAAGTACAAATAAGCTACACTGGATGCACTGAGAGAGGTGAGTGGTCAATTCTACATATTGGGGCCAGGAGAGGCTTCACAGAGGAGGTGATTCTTAACTGTAAAATACTGAACAAGCTACTAGGGAGCAACAAGGGACGAGGTGGCGAAAGGCACTCCAGGCAAAGAGAACCTACAGACAGGGCCAGAGAGCTGATTGGTTAAGGGAACTTAAGTAATTGGTTTGGGATAGGGATTAAAATGTCAGGCAAGTCCAAAGGAAGGAGAGATCGGAAAGACCTCAGAGGTCACATAATACTTAAAATTACACACAACTTTAGATGTTCAACAAAGTCAAAGTAAACTTTTCCTTACTCATCTTTTACATAATGTTTAAGCTAAGAAAGTCCTTCCTAGCCTAGAGATTTTATGGTTACCTTTATTTTTCTTCTAGTTTACATTTAATACTTTGATGTTTAATCTTTACCTTTAACTATTTAATTATCTGGAATGGTCTTTGTTACATGATTGTAAGCCTCATTTGGATACTTTCTCTTGTTTTAATGTTTATCATATCTGTATCATTCATTAAGTTTCCTTATATAACCTTATTTTGGTGAGGGGAAAAACTGGCAGTGCTGAATATCTAATAAAGAGTATTTAGTCACACCTGGGGACAATGCTAAGGCAAACAAACAAACAAACAATTTCATTGGAGTTTGCTCTTTTACTGAACTGTGCCAAACACTGCAGATGCAAACTAACAGTCATTCAGGGTCTTGGCTCTCAGAGGTCCACTGCTGCTTTGTATTTACTGACTGCAATTTTTTAAGGAGCCAGCTGTGCTTCCAAAGACAGTAATTTATTCTAGTGACAACTGAAGTGGGGAGAGGAATGAGAAATAGTCACTGCCAACTTGATTAGTTTAGTCCTACCAGAAATTAGGTGGAGTCAGGTTTCCTGCCCCTGTGCTAGCGGGAAATGGAGGGGGGCCGGCACCTCCTCTCTGCTTGGTGTAGGCCAGGCACCCGGCTGTGAGCTGAGAGCTGTGATTGGTTAGAAAGGCAATCATAAGGTGACTGGATTGGTTCTAGGCTCCCACGCCTCCTATTGTTGCTTCACGGCCTTCTGAAGGCCTGTCCACCAATCACAGGGCTCCTTACAGGAGGAAGCAGCTGCTGGGGAGCGCCGGGAGGCCCTAGCAACCCTGCGGCTTTTGAAATCCGAGGGAGGAAGACTGTGGAGTCAGCCGGATAGTGAAGGAGAGAGAGACTGTGCCTGAGGATGAGCGGGCTCTCAGGATGCATGGACACCCCACTCTCGGAAGAACACTTAGACTCACAAAACAAACAACTGGAAAACCAGGAAGAGGAGATGGGATTTCAGGAACTGGATGGTCTGAAGGAAGCCTTGGCAAACCTCCGGGGACTGTCAAAGGAGGAAAAGAGTGAGAAGGCGATGCTTCGCTCCCGTATCCACGAGCAGTCCCAGCTAATCTGCATCCTGAAGCGAAGGTCAGACGAGGCCCTGGAGCGCTGTCAGGTCCTGGAGCTGCTCAACACAGAGCTGGAGGAGAAGAGGCTGCTGGAGGCCGAGAAGCTGAAGGCTAAGAGCGAGCTTGCCCAGAAGCTGGAGGAACGCTTTATGACCCTGGCAGCCAACCATGAGTTGATGATCCGCTTCAAGGATGAACACAAGAGTCAGAATATCAAGCTGAGAGAAGAGAATGAGAAGCTGAGGCTGGAGAACAGCAACCTCTTCAGCCAGGCTCTGAAGGACCATGAGGCTAAAGTCCTGCAGCTCACCGCCCGGAGCGAGGCCCTGGCCGAAGAGCTGCAGACTCTGAAACAAAGGTGTGCCCAGGACGCCGACCGGGCACAGGCCCGAGAGAAGGAGCTGCTGGAGCTGCAGAGCCAGCAGGCAAGCGCCCACGCCAAGGAGACGGAGCAGCTGCGCAGTCAGCTGCAGAGCCTCAAGCAGCAGCACCAGCAGGCCATGGCGCAGATGGCGAAGGCCGAGCAGGCCCACAGCAGCCTGAGCCAGGAGCTGCAGACCAGGCTGCAGATGGTCACTCGGGAGAAAGAGGAGCTGCTGCAGCTGTCCATGGAGAGGGGCAAGGTGCTTCAGAGCAAGCAAGCAGACATCCGCCAGCTTGAGGAGAAGTTGGAGACAGCAAATGTGGCCAGAAGACAAGCGCTAGAGCGGTTTGAGCAAGAGGCAGTGGCTGTGGACAGTAACCTGAGAGTTCGGGAACTTCAGCGTAGGGTCGATGGGATCCAGAAGGCCTACGACGAGCTCAGGCTGCAGTCAGAAGCTTTCAAAAAGCACAGCCTGGATCTTTTAAGCAAGGAGAGAGAACTCAATGCCAAACTCCGCCATCTCTTCCCATAAGGAAGCTTCTGTTTCCTCTGGCTGCCAATGTAGAATCCAAATATTTGTGCCTTAGCATTATGGCAAGGGTAAAGACGGTTCTCCATTTTTAAAAAATATTTTTAAGCACAAAAGGCACCGCAAAGAAAAGCAACTTTGCTATGATATCGTTGTTGTTGACTTTGTAAGGCTAACACTGTTTCAGTCCTACCACTTAGAATACCAGTGATTTACCAGATTGTCTTCTGTGCCTTTGAAATCTTCCTAAGTGTGCTATCAGTATTGCTACCTCTTCCATAATATACTATTTATTCTCAACCTCAGATATTTTCATATATCCTATGATTTTATATTAGCAGTCTCTATAGATTTAAATAAATCTTAAACCTGCAATCTGATGTGCTCTTGTGAAAAAAATTAGCATAATTAGCCCTTGTAGATAGGTAGGTTTTTAGTCTCCTATAGCTGAGGTAGTAAGCTATAACAGTTAATGGCGTAATAATAGCATAGACAACTTGCAGACAAAAAGTGATTTTGCAACAGGCCAAAAAATTGCTTACATCACTAGCTTTACAATTGTATCCTTTTAATTTTATTTGCACTAGCTTGGAAAACAAAGGTTGAGATCATTAAGCAAGTTTTATTATAGTCCTTCTGTATTAGCAATGAGATCCAAATAAGTGTAATCAACTAGTTTTGATTTTTTTCCTGCAAACTTAGATCACATTCCATTTTCTTGGGTTTTTTTTCTCCTTAATAAAAACAGGAGTTAGAGATACAAGCAGGCAAATATCAGCAGTTTCATTTAATATTATACACTATACTAATAGAAGGCCCCAGTCTGGGGTAACAGCAGACTGGATAGATACGTATAGAAACTCACAGTGATTGTTTTGTTTTTATTAGCATGTGGGTTTTTTTCGTTTTACAATTAGCTTTTTCCTTTTTTGAAACATCTAAACAATGTGTATATGTATACTTAAGCATTTTTGGAGGAATACCTAAATATAGAGTTATAAAAACAGGAAATAGTTATATATTTATATAAAGTTTTTAAAGAGGTAGTTATTAAAAATAGACTTTATGCTTTTTATTTTCTTGTATTTAGTTGATATATAAACATTATTATGAATATCTCTCAAAACTAATGCTTTGGATTTATTAAAAAATATATTACTTGGTACCTTTTATATTTTTTATTTTTTTGTAAATTTCTTTATTGTATTTTTTCCATTACCAGTTAGTTCCCTTACTTAATAAACAATTTTCAACCATCACCTTACCTCAGGCATCTTTTAAAACCTATATTCTTACAGTTTTATTAAGCTTGAGAAATTAAATACAAATTTCAGGGAACTACATCACTGGCTTTGGAAGGACTATTCCTCTTCCATGTTACCAAGGATCGGAATATAGGGGCTAACTTCATAATGGTTATCCTCTATTGAGCCCATATTATTTATCATTATGCTGAAGCTCTTGAAATAGATTTTATTTAATCCTTATGGCCATTCAAAAAGGTAATTATGTTCATTTGTATTTCAAAGAAGAGGAAACGAGGATTTAGTAATTTGCCCAAACCCACCTAGACACTGAAGTAGCTGGGATTTTGCTCATACTACCACACTGAAAGATTTGTTGATTGTCTACTGAGTGCCATGCTCTGGGAGGAGGCACTGAGAATAAGCATGAAGAAGTGTGTTTTCTGCCCTGGAAGAGTTTCCGCCCCATTTAGGCTGGGACAGATTTGCAATTACACTCAGTACGGTGTGTTTCCACAGGGGGCGTTATGAGATCTCAGTGGATAACACCGTTTCCCGACCCCCGCCCCGCCCCGCCCCGCCCCGCCCTCGCCCTTCGCCACGTAGGCGCGCGCAGAGCAGCAGACTTGCTTGGGGCTAAGGATTGGATGGTAGAGAGGATTTTCAGAGATCACTAACACAGGAGTTGATATACAAACTGGTTGTTAAGTAATAAGTAAAATTTCATCAGGTGGAGAAAAAGGAGAAATGTTTGCGTTAGCATCGTGTAGAAAGTCATGGAGGTTTTTTGTTTTGGATTTTTGTGTGTTTTTTTTTTAATGTCCAGAAAGAATATTTGAGGAAATCATAAGTATTTGGAAGGAGGTGTAGAGAAGCTTGTCTGCAGATAGCACTGGGAGAGAAGGTTGTGGACATAACGTAGACAGTCTCAAAATCCAAGCTGGCCCCTTATATTGGGGGGAGAGAGGGTGAAGGGGACGGGCAAGCGTACAAATAAGAGCCACAAACCAGCAGCCTTCTTCCTCGGACCCAGTTCCAGGTTGCTCTGCCGGGGGCCAGGTATGCAAGCTGCCCGCGTCCTTCCCTCCCTCCATCACCCTGACACCTGCCCGTCCAAGCTCTACGCGCTTGCTGGGGATGGTCTGCTGGGGATGGTCTCTCCAGCCCAAGTTTTGTGAACAGCCTTCAGGGCAGAGGCCAAGCGGGTCCTGGAAACGGGCTGATAGTCATTTGGGAAGGGAACCTTGGGTCTTGACTCCCGTGTATAGTTGAGTAGAAGCCTTGACCCCAGGTACTCCTCATTGATGGGGAAGAGTTCCTCAGGAAACACGCAGGCGAGGGTGGGCTTGGGGGTGGTAAGGTTGGGCCTGGGGCGCGTGTCTCCTAAAACGTGAGTAAGAAGGAAGGATCTCAGTTGCCCAGGCCTAAGGATAGTGCTAAGGATTTTGGATTAGGTTGGACCATATAAAATTGCCACTTTCTCAGTCACAAATGATTAGATATGAACATTTCATAATGTCCACTCTAGTACCCTTTTGAAAGATATTAAAAATGGGTAATGAGCACAGAAGGTCAAAGAATGATACCTAGAAAACAAGCGAAGAAAAGAATTCGCAACATAGACTAAGAAAGTAAAAGGAGTGTGAACCTATGATGTGTCAAGTGCTTTTCATGTCACCCTCGTAACACCTCTTCAGGGAGGTTCAGTTTTCTCTACTTTACAAATGAAAAAAGTAAGACTCAGAGAAGGTGATGTGCTCATACCAGGGATTTTTGGGGGTGGCAGGAGTAGGTTTGGACCCAAGCCACTCTGGCTGGGTAGGCTTTCTGGGTGTGTCACCTACATAGGGACATTGTACGGGCTTTAATGTTCCACTGTTGCTGCCTTGAGATTCTTAATCATTGTGTGACAAGGGGCTCTACATTTTCTTATCCCGCTGAGCACTGCAGCTTGTGTAGCTGGGCTGCTTTCAGGCTCTAAAATCCGTGCCCCCTCCGCCCCGGCTGTACAAACTACCTTCTAACGAGCCACAAAATGGCATTGTCTTTTCCTTTTGTGCTTCAGAGCATTCTGTATTCCACTCTTTCAGTGCTTAATTTGTAGTTAGTCTGTGACCCAGAGCCAAATTCAGGGATGAGCAACTAGTTTATTGTGGTTTGCTGATCTATAAAGTGATGCTTATCACTGGAACAAATGGGCAAAATGTCAGTGGACTGCTGCCAAACTACTGCCCTTGAAGGGAAATTTAAAAAGCAAAACAACAAAACTGCTTTCTAAAGCAGACCTGTAGCCCTAGTAAATTTTCTGCGATGTTCCACAAGCAGTAACCCTAAAATGAAAGTCAGAACAGAGATTCTAAAGCCAAGTAATGTGTGAGTAGCACTGTGTAGCTGTTAAGTGCGATCTTTTGTGTTACCTATTCAATATATTGTAAGCCCTTCAATGTGCCTTTACGGAACTTGCGTGGTTCCAAAAAAAGTCATGAAAAAGAGCTAGAAAAGGAATGAGAGTGACAGGAAAAGTGAACTGACTGTATGATGTTCTCTCAATAGTGGCTCTGTTTCAATTAGTGAAAATTAATTCAATATAATTTGTTTCCAGTAAGCAAAGTACTAACAGAAAATCTATTTCTCCCCAACTTCAGTTATTCAAACTAAATAATAATTTAAAGGAGATTGTTTGAAGGAGTACCTTCCCAGGTGCTTGCTGTTCGGTCCAGCCTTGTTGCTGAGACACCTGTAGAATGCCTGTGACTGGGTCAGCGCAGGACTGATTCTCTCCTTCTGACTTTGGCAAGACAAGGAAAAACAGACAGACATTTGAGATACTGCACCTTGGCACACGAATAAAGGAAAAGGGACAAAGGTCCTAACTGCTCTCCCAAAGCTGATCCTGTCCCTCCAGGTGACTTGTCTTTCGTTGTCACTGGCCAACATTGGGCCATATGCAAACACCTCAACCAAGCATCTTCATGGAAACTGTTGTCACCATGACTAACCTGGGCCTGTCAGGATCTGCCCCTGGGTGGGAATGAGGCCAGTCTATGCTGCAGAGTGGAAGAGGCTCTCTGATGGATGTAGGCAGGACTGGCCGCCAACGGTGTCTGTTATACCACATCTACTTACATTGACAAGGCCTCATCAGGCTAGGAGTCCTTTTTTTTTTTTTTAATCTTGGCCTCTTAAACTGTAGGAATTTGGGGAGGTAGCCAATAATGGGCTGTTCTAATTATTTTTCCACCTTCCTAAAGATAAACTTGAAGTTATTTTCCAAAAACTAAAAACACCTTATTAAATTTAAGAGCCTAGAATTGTACAGATGCATCTCTCTACATCATGCTGTTCTCTCCAAACCTTCTGTTTATCTAACTTGGAAAAAATCCAAGAAAAAACTCCCCTTTGGACAGATCTCCCTGGTCATTCATTGTACTTTTAACTGACTCACAGTGCCCCCTCTCCCAGCCCCCTCATTCTCCAGTTTCACAAAGGGACTCAGTTATTTGCCAGACTCTTCCTATTTAATGCTCTAACCTACTCTTATTTGTACTAGTCTAAAGTGGCACTGTTTGTAATAACAAAAAAATTGAAAGCAGGTTACATATCATCAATAAGGAACTGATTAAACTGTAGTTCCTTTACACATTGGAATATGTTGCAAGTGGAAAAAAGAAAGGAGGAGAGAAGAAAGAAAAGAGAAAGGGGCTCTTTATATAGTACTCTAGAAATATCTCCAGGATATATGTAGGGGAAAAAAACAGG